CCTCAAAGCTCAAAAACTATAATAAAATACAAATTCTATATGAATTCATTAGTTTTATTAGTGACGTACATATGTACATATGTATATACATATGTACACTATACATTATACATATTAAAAATACTTATAAATATGTAAATTTCCAATGCTCTAAATCTCTATATACTTATATATATGTATTTATATATATTTATATATACATGTATGAATATATAATTATGTGCCATTTGTGCTCACGAAAGAAAAACAAAAATTTTGACTTTTCGTCCAAAAAAAAAAATATAAATGAAAAAGATAAAAACTGTAATGCCAGCAAAAACACGAACGTACGTATTTGACTATAGAGAAATAGAGAACAAAAAAAAAAAAGAGAGAGAGAGAGAACAAATATAATATTAAGTGCGTAAGAATCGGCGCCTCATTATCTATTTAATGCTGTACTTGAATAAGGCATCACATTTTGTTATTGTACAAAGTTCTGCAAACAAATTCAAGGTTTCTCACTCTCTCTGTGTTTTTTTTTCTCTTAGCATATACATATGATAAAGTATACAAATATATCACTCTCTACCTATATCAACTATATAGAGAGTTCACTTTATTTTGTGAATTTTTACACCAAAAATTTTATCCAAACGAAAATAAGCTATATATGTATATATAAAAAATGCTATATAAAAATGGAAATGTGAATAAAAATATAGAGAAATTTTTTTAAAATATATAAATCTATATGTTATATATTATATACATGTATATACATATATTAATAAATATCATTTATTATGTGTTCAAATGAATTATTGTCGTCGTGCAATTATTTATTCATGAATTTAGCCTCTAATCGTATATGGAAATTATTTATTTATTTATGAATATAGTTCGTAATACTCGCAATACTATTATTACCTGACAAGTTCTTAACTGATATTAGTAATAAATATGCTTTGTTATAATTAATTTATTTAATTTATAAACTAATTTAATGATCAATCAATTTAATATTACAAAAGTGAATAATAATGCGTACTGAATACTTTGTCCGGCCAAATGCTAAGCCCAGCCCTTATCGAAAAACCCTTTGGCAAAGACACACCTGTCTCTGGTATAGCGTCATATAGCTTTACTTGCACATTGTCAACTCATGCTACTCACTCTTCGTGTCTTTCAATTTTGTCTATCATTAAATCTATTTCCAGTCGAGCCTATTAAATAATTGACTTTCAAAATCCAAAGCACTGCAGCCTGGATTGTAGGACATTCGGAAGTATAGTAGACATATAAATAGCCTAAATTAAATTAAAAACCTCCCTCTTTTCATTGAATTTGCGTTGCGTAACAAACGGATGTAATTAGTGCAAAGAAGAAAGACTAAATTCTAATCTATAGAACACATGGAACCTATCTAACTATTCAGTAATATCTATGTCATGATTAGAACAAACACTCGCTGTAAAAAAACCTGAAAGCGCAGACAAAAAACAAAAAAACAAAAATCAAAACAAATTAACAAATGCTACATTTTGATTTTGTTTTTGGTTTAATTTTTTTTTATAAACCTTGTGATAGATGATATCAAACCGGTTCATCGGCTTTTTAAAATTGCTGGAAATGCTTTCATTACAAATGCAGCATTTATTTTAGCTTACTTTGCCATGATGACGTATATGGGGTATATAGATTTTATTGTATATTTAGTTTTAGGCAGAAATTTAAATATAAAATATATTTAAAATATAAATATGTATTGAAATAAGTATAATAGGTATTTGGTTGTCTTGCTATAAGAATTGTCTTTATAAATGAATAGTGCAGCAAAAACAAACATATCTAAAACTTAAAAATAAAAAAAAAAAACATTTTTATTTATTTATTTATTTTTTTTTTTTTTCAATTTGTTTTAAAGTTTGTTTATGCTGCATTTTTTTTGGGTTCTTCCTCTTCTTTTAGTGCTGGTTTCGTTTTAATTTTATTGCATTTGCAACGGCGACAAATACAAATACAACAACAACAACAACAACAATAGTAGAAGCAACAGCATGAAGAACAGTTGGCAACACCTGTATGTCAATTCAAGTTCTGGCCAAAACCAGTTTTATCGGCTAATTGCTGCATCGCGGTCTCGAGGGTCATTCCATTGCCCTTCGCTCCCCTTAATTTGATTTTAAGCCCCAGCAACCACCCTCGCAGCCCCTCATTCGACAGCTTATTTAGTGAGATGCAACACACGCACACACACACACACACACACGCTCATACAAATTGCATGCACCATACACACTCTCTGTGCGTATATGGGTGTGTGGCTTTTTGGTTGTTTTCCCGACCCAGTTAACACTCGATTTATCGCTTTGATTGTTTCCTGTCCAATTAACGCACAGGAAAGTTCGCCAATGTGCTCAAAGCGTTACTTTTTCAACACTTTTTTTTTTATTATAGACTTAAGATAATAGCCTATATAGTGCTGGCTGTATTTTATATATATTAAAATAATTTATTCATAATTTATATGAAAATTCAATATAGATATAGTTTTTTTTTTTTTTTCAAAGTTTGCTAGCCAATTTCTAAAATAAAACTTGTTTTTATTCTGAGCTAAAAAAAAGTCTAATATCACATATGCTTCAAATAAAAAAACAAATTAAAATTCAAAGACTTCTTTAATGAACTATTAAAACTGTTCAAGTTTTTATTAGCTTTTCGTAGATCCTAAATATGCTAAACCAAACTTTAATTAATTAAAAAACAAAAGCAACAAAACTGGCCCAAAACTTGACCAATTGTTTTGGGGCTTAGTTAAATAGATTGGCAAACGTTTAGCCAATCAACCGGAAAGTCGCCAACAGGGATAATATGTGAAATTAATTCGCTTAAGTATGCCATAGGCATACATATACGCCCCTCTACAGACAGGGAGCGGGACATGCAGAGAAAGAGAGAGAGAGGTGGAGAGGAGGGACGTCCTGCTAGTACCTAGAAATGAAAACAGACGCTGATGACGCATGGGCAAAGGGTGTGCCTTGGCTAAACACACGAAGGATTTGGCCAGGCCGGGTGTACGAGCTGGTGGGGGGAGAGGAGTGGAGCTGGTGTTTGGGTCGGGGGATTTGCGAGTGTGGAGACCATAACAAAATAGGCGCCAATGTGACGCGCACTATTTGGAACGCCTTGAGGGTGGACCTAAGAACATTGCTGCCCCAAACCTCGATTAAATCGGCACATAAATGTTTGTCTATCATGAAAGGGACAGAGAGTGTGTGTGTGAGAGAGAGAGTCGGAGGTAACTGCTCTAATGAGTATAATGATGACATACGCACAGGAGTTGGGCGCAATGGAAGTGAGCGGGAACAACTGTTGCTTGTCTTCGCTATTCTATACACCTTCTGGTCCCCTCCCCATGTCGTAGTTCTTTTGTTCCCCTCAATTGGAGAGTCATCGTGCCCGAGGCAAATAAATCAAGTAGATTCAAGTAAGACGCCTTTGAGTGTGGGGTCAACTGAGAGGCAACACTCAACGCTCACCTCTACACATGCAAATGAAAGCAAATTCTGGGTCTGAGGCCAGTTTCTGTTCAGACGAAGCTTAGCCGATTTAATAAGCAAGTGCTAAATGTAATACAATTATAAACTGGTTTTGTTGCGTCGAGATTGGTTCAGGTTGGTGAGACTTTGAGAAGCTTTTTTAAATAGAGCATAACACTAATTGATATTCAAGATACGAGCGTAGCACTTCGATAAAACTCTAGTGCTATACGACCCTAGAATGGATTTTCCCTAGAATCTCAAAGGCATACTGTAACATTTTCTTTATATATATTTAATAATTTGTTGATTATATCCCTCAAATTTGTCTACGTCCATAAAAGTTAGTAAAGCTCATTAAATGTTTTGCTCCAACCGTTCTGCATGATTCAAATCTAACTCGAATCAAGTGTGAGCATATATGTATATGTACATAAAAAAATGATATATGTTTATATTTAGCAAGTATCATTTAGTAAACACCATTCCCTCATTTATCTAGTGGATGGGTCTAACCAACTGGGAGTTCCACAACAAATGGTGCGAAATCGCACATTTAGTCAAAGGTAACATAAAAGTACAACGCCAACAATGTTAAACAGATACAGTAAACACTTTAGGTGAGGAACAACATTCTCAGATCATTTTGCAAAGTACAGTTACCTATACAGAATAATAAAAAAGAAAATATTTTACATTTTTAGCCCGGTACGCTTTCACGAGTCTCCACTGTGCCTAGCCTTTTGAGCCATATGTGCGTTCAGCGGTCAGCTGAATTATTAACACTATTTGGCCTTCGTTGAGGCGCTCCGATGTCGAGCAACTGGACATGCAAACGTGTCGTAGTAGAGGGCGTGCCGCGCCATAGGGGTGTATGGGGCGCTTAGGGCGGTGGAGGTGCTCAACTGTTCTATATAGGTCACGGGCTCTTTAAGTTTGTTTACCGCTTGGCCAGAGACCAGCGCAGCTTGAGTGTTATTATTAAAACTTGTCGTCTGATTGCACAATCCCTATTCAAAGCTGTGTGTCCCGTGCCCACCCCTACTCCAACCCCCACACCTACCCCTACACCGAGTTCCTTTGTTCAAGTTGGCCATTGCATTCGAGCCATAAACAAGTTTCCAGATGAATCGTGTTTACTGTTATGAACCGAACTGTACTTACTGGACTTCTTTATGTAAAGTTCCTCTTTAGGAAGAGGTGGTGGCAGAGAGAGAGAGAGAGGGAGGTGGTCAAGCCTTACATATGCTACACGCACTTTTAATGTACCTTGGGCCATTGCAAACAGAATTCAAATGGTTGAAATCGCCTTTTGTTTGACCAGATGAAAAAAAAATATAAACAAATTTTAATTGCTTTTTCCGTTTATCCAAGAGAAACGCATATTGATTTTTAGAGTAAATTCGATAAATAAAAAAATCTATAAATAAAGTGTAAATATGTGGGTATCAGTAGATTTAATGTATTTTGAGTATTTATGTTATATAAGTAAGGATTTTAAATGAATTCCATTTGTATATTTTATATATAATAGTTAACTGACTAAATCGACTAGCTGGCAGCTCGAGCTCTCTCCGTCACTTTTATATACTTAGAGATCCAGTAAATAGATATCTGTGATATATACATAACTATAATCATTTACACTTTGGTATAGCTATAAAGATGTAAAATGTCTACAAATATTTTATATATACGATGTATTCTACGATAATAAAATAATTTGAAATTTGGTTTTATGCAGCATATCCAAATCACTTCCTATTCTATTCAAAATTGATTTGCTATTATGTTTGCCACATAACCTATACATATTATAGATTCTTCTCAAGGCGAGAGCAGCCAATGTCTGTTTTCTTTCAGTTTTTCGTTCGTAATAATAATTATGTTTGCTCTGCTTTTCAATTTACATTCGTATGCGTCAAATATCGCATATAGAATAGCTTTTTGGCCCGTTTCTATAATGCCACTCATTTGGCAGCTTGCCTTGAAATATATTTCATTCGACACATCCATCTCTTGCTCTCGCACATGCTCTCATTCTCATCCCCTTCCTCTCCGCCTCTCTCCCTGCCACTCTGTCAAGTACGAAAATAGATCAGCTAGAAGCAACAAGAAAATGCCAAAAGTCGTGAAATTATTATTACGATCGCCAAAGAGTTCAGCTACCCTAAGTCCAATTGAGGTCTACATGCGGACTATGAGAAATAATGACATAAGACTTTTTACAACTTGACCCTTACTTGATCCTACGAAACTCAGTTCAATACATTAGCAATATGCCAAGTAAAGATTTGAAGCATTCTATGATATATCTGCACGATATCATTATATAGTATACTGTGTAGCTAGCTTCTATACCTACTACTAGTTGTACTATATATAGCTAAACTATACCTAATTATTCAAACTTTATCGAGTCCCAATTAGCTTCTTTATAGTTCACCCAATCGTAACCTTTTGAACCAGCTCAAACTCCACATGGGGGACAATGGCCGAGCTAGCTAATTGAGCGTACAGTAATTTCCTTTGGGCCAACCAATTTGAAGACAGTTTTATGTAAATGTCAGCGACAAATGGGGAAAAAGTAAATTGTGAAAAACTACAACAAACATGATAAACATTTTGATGTGCTTTGACCGCCAAGGGAGCTTGAACTATCTGCACACCCGAATGATCCAAATCAAGGCCAGATAAAGATACCGATGACATTTAGTATATTACATATATGATGTATATACATATATACATATTGTTTGGCTATCCATCATATTGAACTAAGTAATTGTTCGAGTCATATGCAAGTTGCTCGAAGTAAATTTATCGATTACGCTCTTAGACTAGGGACAAGTATTTATAGCATATAGTGTGTAGATATATACGTGTGTGTTGGTGTGTATGCATGTAATTGAACATTGCTGAAGACATAAGAATGTTGGCTGGCTTCTAATCGCGGTACACACGCCTTGATATTGGTAACGCACGCGCTGCAGGCGACCTAGTCGCCACGCTCTGGACGAACAGACAGACGAGAGAGAGAGAGAGAGAGCGAGATAGAAAGTCAGACAGAAAGCCGGAATAGCTGACTGGCGTCATAGACCAGCGGCACAGGCGTCTGGGCCAACTGCCAACCCCGTGTGGTCATTGCCAAACTTATTTCCTTGTACTTGAAAGCAATTCATGTATTTTTTTT